TCTAAACATTTATTTAAGCTTTTAAAGTTTCCGACATACAACAAAACTAAAGTACACAACACCTTGTGAACTCCCTAAATGTTTTCTACCATTTCTAGAGGAAACCGATTTGATTTACATATTTGTTGTTGAGATCAGAAAATATGCGGTCTGCAGCAGCGCAACCAATCAAAGATAAATTAAGTTAATTGATTATATAGAGTTTTGTTCTGTACTTTTCTCAAAAAAATCGTCTATAACCTCAATCTTATCGTCAAACTTTAAAAATCGCCATTGCATTCATATATTTTCTTTGTCGCTAGTGAAGAAAAATTTACGGTAATACATTTTTATATGTAACTAGCAGACCCGGCGAACTTCGTCCCGCCCAAAATTATTTTTTTTTTAGTAAAATATTTTGGTAGAACCATATTCACCAACAATTCACGTTCACGATTTCCAGTGATACATTTATCTGCTAATACATATTACGGTTTGGTGGTTGTCATAAGGCATATTTCCATTGTCGTCTTTAATAACCTAACGAAAGTGTATGTTCGTGAAGAATTTCTTGAAATTATCCAATGATCTGGCGTTTCACAGAACGGTTAGTCGCAAAATGAAATAAATTTGAAGAACTTTTTCCCATTCATCATTCCCATCTATCCTAGAAGCTATATGGTGTAGTTGGTGGCAATTTAAAAATTGGTGAGTATCGTTGTTCCACACACAATTATTTCAGTCGAAATACCTTAAAGCTCTTATCAAGGAGCGCAACGGTTCTGATGGTAGACATAATGCTGGTCATTTGAGATTGACCCCTGGACATCTCATTCCTGGTGTATCCGAATAAAGCACGCAAATCACGTTCATTGAGCCAATCGCAACACACGGGAGCTCGGCATACTCGGTGGTACAGTAGGTCGATGTAATCGGACATTCACGGCACTTTTTCTCACTTGACGCTTTTTAGTAACAACTCGACCCCAGCGTCACCCGGTGGCTGTTTTTTGCAATAGTATTGACCTTACCGTTACCATTACATAAGTATCTTGAATATAAGCCAGATCGGATCAGAACTAAGATTTTAAAAATAACACGACTCCAGCGCCATCTGGTAGGTCAAAATGGGAATCTGAACAACTACGAAGAGACCTTACTCACACAATAAAATATTTCGTTAAAATCGAATCACTCACAAACACACGAACGAAGTATTATATGTATATACACCTGCAGTACTTTTGGGAAGACGTCGCTCCCCTTCTTAAATATCGCCAATTTTATCTAAGAGTATGCGATTGATTTCGTATATCTCTATACTACTATATGTTCGAATACTCAACCATGAACACTTCCAGGAATTTGCAGTATGAAAAATTCGGTTTATTTGAGTAGAGTAGCGTACTTGACTACAATGAAAACATCCAGAAATAGGCCACGTTCGAGGCACGTAATAGCAGCGGCTATACTGCACCACTGATGAAAGTTTTCAAAACTGTTGCAAGTTCCCAACTGATAAAACGTTGGAATTTTACACCGAACGTGATACTTTAATAATGCGCGCAACACTGCGGTTGTGATTGCGACTCGAACAACCCCATATGCAGTATGAAAAACTCGATTTATATAAGAGGTGCCACGCGTGTTTTCCAATAACATCAATTTTTTTCATGAGTATGCGTTTAATTTCGTATGGGAGGTGCCATGCCCCCTTTTCCAATAGCTCCAGTTTTTCTCCGCAATTGATTTCATATATATCCCTACCAAGATCCAATACTCTACCATGAACACTTCTAGAGATATGTAGTATTAAAAATTTGGTTTTTATAGTAGATGCCACGCCTCCTTCACTTAGCGCCATGAAATTAACTTTACGACCTGTTCCCCGCGCTCATTTTCTAAATTAATTTTATATATCTCCATACCAAGTTCCAGTACCCTACCATGAACGCTTTCAGAGATATGCGGCAGGAAAAATTCGGTTTTCCAATAACATCCATTTTTTCCATGAGTATGCGATTGGTTTCATATATTTCCAAATATACACAAAAAATTTCATACAAGTCGGTCAAGCCGTTTAGGAGGAGTTGACCACAAACACCGTGACATAAGATTTTATTCGAATGGTGGGAACCCTATGCAATTTTTTTTTCTGTTTTAAGTGTTTTCATACATTCGCAGTGGAATAGCATTATTACTTATTAAAATTAATTTTTGTTTGATAATTCAGATATATGGCAACACCGGTTTTTAAATTTTTTTTCTTTGCAAGCCTTCTACAGACAAAGAGAAACAAAATGAAATAAAAACGAAACAAATCCGTTGAGCCGTTGTTGAGTTATGCGATAACAAACGAACAGCAATTTATTTTTATATTTAAAGACTTTTGTCGAGTGGTGGCAAACCTCTTCAAGTTTTTTTTTTATTAAATTTGTTACTGCATTCTCAGTAATGTACATTATTGCGGCTTATGTAAATTAATTTTTTTTTTTTTGATATTTGAAATATGTGGCAACACCGGTTTTCGAATTGTTTCTTTACATTCATTTTACAGAGATAAAACACAAAATAAAATAAAATAGGACCAAATCCCTTGAGCCGTTCTTGAGTTATGCGATAGCACACGAAAACAATCAACATAATTTTTCCAATTTTCTCCTCACAAACCTTCTACGGACAGAAAGACACAAATTGAAATAAAAACGAAGCAAATCCGTTGAGCCGTTTTTGAGTGATGCGATAACACATAAAAGCAATCCATTTTTAAATATAAACTTTTTTTCGAATGGTGGTAACCCCATCCAAATTTTTTTCCGAATTAATTTTGCTATGCGTTCTCAGTGAAATGGCATTATTGCGGCTTATTTGTAATAATTTTTTTTTCTGATATTGCAAATATCTGGCAACACCATTTTACCAGTTTTCTCTTTACAAACCTTCTACAGATAGAAAGACACAAAATGAAATAAAAACGAAGCAAATCCGTTGAGCCGTTCTTGAGTGATGCGATAAAACACGAACAGCAATTCACTTTTATATATAAAGATATATTTTTGTTTAGAAATGTATCCGAATTTCTACAGAGCAAAGCAAAAGTATCCACACAAAATTCATCGGAAAAGTATCCACTTGGATCAGAGTTTATCCAAACGGCAACATTGGTGACGATTTAAATTGCCGATGGATCCTCCACGGGAGCGGATGTGAGCCAAAAAATACTCAAATAAGCATGCTTCCCGTCCTTATGATTTCAAAATTCATTTCGCTTCCTTATATCTATAAAAGAGAACAGAATATTTCTTTAGCATACAAGATTAATAAATAAAGTTCTCACTTTGTACACAGAATTGCAACTTTGATCATTCACCAAATTGCGGCACATTACATTCGTTTTTTATTCCAGGTCACTCTGTCCATCTCGATACTTATCAGCTTACACGTGTTCTTTCTTTTGGTAGTTGAAATAATACCTCCTACTTCTCTAGTTGTTCCACTTCTGGGCAAGTATTTGATATTTGCAATGATATTAGTATCAATCAGGTAAGTGAAAATTTTTAATGTATATATTATAGTTATTTTTTTAATGTATATGTGAAGATGAAGATGAAGATGTAGGATGAAGATGAAGATGAAGACGAAGACGAAGATGAAGATGAAGATGAAGATGAAGATGAAGATGAAGATG